CCAGGCACTGACTCAAGGGGATGGCTGGTGGGTTATTGTGGCAGGGGGCTAGGGAAGATGCTGGGTTATTGTTGTGAAGAAATACAGCAATGCAGAAAACAAAAGCCTACACTGTTACCTGCATGAGTTCTACTGGTTCTGGGGCAATTTGTTTACTTGGAATAATAATGGGAATGACTATTGTGTTTGCTGTTTTAATAAAAAAGCTTTCACTGTGCCGGGACAGCAGAGGCAGAATCCAAAACTATTGGGTCTGTAAGCATGAATTTTGCTGAAGGACTTAAAATGCTGTGCTTGGAATCAATATTAGATTCAAGCCTCTTGAGGGGAAGTAGAACCACATTTGAAAATGCACTTTATATGCACTATTTTTATTTTAATTCATTTTACTGTAGTTTGACACATTTCCTCCCACAGACACTGTTGGAAAACAAACAAACAAACAAAAAACCCAGAACAACAACAACGAAAAACCACCAACAAAACGCCAAAACAAACAAAACACGATGATCCAGGCAAGACCTTGTGGCTGTCCTACCTGGGTAGCCAAAAATTATGTCCCAAAACTGGGCTCTTTACCCAGCGTGCAAAGACCAACCCACACACAAAGACAATATATTTATTTGATTGCAGTTCTGCACGGAAAGAGGTGCCAGGCAATCATTCACAAAGCTAGCACACCCTTTGAAAAATAAGCTGGGTCTCATACAAAATAGCAACAAAGAAGAAACGTCAGTAAGGTAAATGCTTGGTTAGTCATTTGTCACTCCTAACTCCACATATGAAAGCAAGAATTTAGCATCCTCTTATCTCGAGGCTCCTACTCTTTGTTTCGAGATTAGGTCAGATCTCCTGCCCAGATCTGGTATCACCTGCCTGCTACCCCCTTCATCAATTGCACAAGTCCACCTGGTTGAGAAACATGGAATCTTTGAGAATGCCCTTTTCTTTCAACAACACTAATGGTACACCACTGTTTCTCTTCTCAATTACGGTGCAGAGGGAATGGAGAAGAGCACAGGGTATAAAAAGTTCCTTAAAGGAGTGGAATATTTCCTCAGTTTCCTCAGGATACTCCTGAAGAGGAAGGCAGGAATCAATTATACTTTAATTTCTACACTGCAAAGGTGGCACTTTTGTTCACACACTGTGTTGGTGGTCTGGCTGACACAAACACAGAATACAAAAAGTTTCCTGAAGTTGGTTTAAAGTCTCAGGGACTCAATTTAGTGTTTGTTTTGCTTTCATAATGAAGTGTTGACTACCAGGTTCTCACACTGTGAGTAGAAATGTATTGAGAACAATTTCCCTTGGGAGCACTATAGAGGATTAGAGAAATTAGTACATGGTATGCAATGGCAAGCAATTTTCCAAGACACAGAGCTAAAACAAGCTTCATCCCTGCATTAAAAGAGGAACAAGAAATTAGATTCCTCCTCTCAAAGTCAAAACAATCCCTAGTTTGCAGCATTGGTGCAGAACTACTGCAAATTGCATATTTTTTAGGTGAATTTACCACCGACACAGAATTTGTACACAAGAACAGCATGTGATTCCATGAACTATGCAAGAATAAATGGTTCAAACACAGTTCCTTTATGTTTCTATGCTGGAGACGTTACTGCATGTGCTATACTGCATGCTGTTCCAATAGATTTGCACTCTGCTGCACCCCTAGCTGTACTGTGTGGAAGAAGTAAGATCTCTGTGTCTCTGCTGAAAATGAGGAAAAGCATAAATAGAGGCTGGGAGAGCTGGGTAGAAGTGATGACAGTTATAACTGAAATAAGTAAAATTTGAGAAAAAAAATCATATTTGGGGAAGAATCACATGGAAGAGAACATGAAGGACACACAGAATAAAAATAGGGCCTAGATAACAGTGAAACAGTAAGAATTAGAAAAGCACATTCCAATTAGAGGAAAATAGACCCCAAGTAGTCAAGAGCCAGGCCTTGAGACAGGTCTGCAGGACACCTGCAAGACAGATTAAAGGGATGGAAAGAAGCCCACCCCACAGCTTATCCTGCACACAGCCTGGAGCACTGGAGGAAAAACACTGAGTGATTTGAGTCACCATATTAACATACCATTAATATATTAATGAGCTATTAGCATACAAAAATACCCACTCACAGTCTAGAGGGACCTCTACTAACAACAAGCCCCTTAGTCTTTGAGCATGTGTAGTGAAATGTTTGAGCACTGTCACTTTAAATGAACGCAAGGAACAAGTTGACCAATCTTGTGTGAATGATAATGTTAGAGATAAAGTTATTTCTCACATTTCTGTGTATAAAATTAGCACTTGTATTTCAGGAAGCTGAGCTTGCTTTGTGGAATACCACTCTGCTCCCTTTTCTGCGCAGAACTGGATATTAAAGCAAATACCTCAACTATGTGTGGATTGGCTTCTTGCACACCAGGTGGTGGTGGACCCAGCCTTGGAACAGCAGAAGCAACAGAAGCACATGGGACACAAGGACTTGGGCACCCAGTGTGCGAATATGGAGATCATCAACTTAGTAAAGGCATACAGTCTACAGTTCGTAGTTTGGGCATAAAGGTGGAGAGATATAGGGCACAGAGTTGGGTTTGTGCTTTCTGGCCCATAGCTGTACAAAAATCTCGAGCGAAGCTTCTAGAGTTACATGTCCAACTCTCTTCTATAACTAGTCAGCCCAGTATTCCTCAGCCATTGGATTCACCATTTGAATTCTTTCAATAAAGAGATTTTCTTTAGTAAAGAATTTCAATTTCTTACTTAGATCTTACTTAGATAATTTATTACAAGTCAGATTTCCTTGCCCAGTTACGGGACTCCCTCAGTCTGTTCCACTGGGCTATTTTGGACAGTATGCTACAACAGGGAGCCCTAGCAACTAACCCTCTGGCCAGCACCCCACTGATTTTAGTAGAAGAGCCCACCTAAGTTACTCACCTACTTATTCTTCACTGCCGTCCACTCTATACATGCCCTTTGCCCAGTTACGGGACTCCTACAGTTCACTGTAGTTTAAGCCAGCTTAAAAAATGGTTCAAGCCCCTCAGCACTACTACTGTCTCTGTTGACTCTGCGCTTCTTATGATAGGACCTATTGAGAACACAGCACAGTGGCCATTGGAGAAAGCAGCATGTGAACTACTGTTCCCTTCATCAGACTCACCTGGATGAAAGGATGAAAGATAATGCAAGTAGAAGATGTGGGACTTGAAATGGAACTGTTAGATTAACTCTAGTGGTTTTCCTGGGATGAGGATATGCAGCTTATGGGTAGTTTCTAGACATGCTCTTAGCAAAGGCTGGTTCTGAGCAGAGCTTCTAAGCCTGGGTTAGGCTGCTGCTGGGGATGATGTCAGCTGGTAAGACTTGAGAAGCATATAGAAACGGCCACAACTGCAGTAAAATTAAATCTGCAGTTAGGACCTGACAGTTCAAGTGCAGACACTACTTCACTGAGTAAATACAGCAGGGAAGAAGCAGCACACAGATTTTTTTAAATTTTTTTTATATGAAGCTTTTGTTTAAAAAAATGTAGAATGTGTAATTGCTGACAAGGGTATTGAATAGCTCCCAGTGCTGTTGATGCAGTTGAAATCTCTGCTGCTGACAAGTAGTAGTTCTAAATTGTCGAAGCATAGAACAGATCAGCACTAAGACAAATTTTCTCCCTAAAGACTGCATTGAATAACAAAGGTTTGTTAATTGAAGTCCCTTGCAATCAGCCCTTGCATTTCCAGAGCATACATTTCCAATGCCAGCTGTTTTTAACATATCAACAAGAAAACTGGTTTCTTGGATGTGAAAACATCAGGTATTAAATTTCCTCATTTACCCTTTTCTACCAGTATAAAAATTACCACACATAAAAATACTGTTTGCTCAAAATAATAATAGCACTAAATGTGGACTAAATGCAAATAAGTTAAAAAAAAATTTAAAAATTTCAAAGATATAAAGGAAACAAACCCCTGCCATTTCACCTATATTTAAGGACTTCTGTGTTTAGTGCTGTATAGTATTTCAACAAAAATCAGCATCTGATGAACATGCCAATGGCTTTACAGGCACCCAAGTTAGTGCTGTAAGACAAAGATAGTCACATTTTAATTTTACAAATGTTTCACAATGTCAGTTACATATTACAGATTGAAAAGTGAAATTAGGGAGCAGTAGGATGTATTTCTTTATCTGAAAATGGTCACTATTCCAAATTGGTAGTTAACAGAATGGTTAAAAGGAAAGTAGATACTAAAATATAAGAAAGCAGGGGAAAAAAAGAAAAAAAAAAAGAAAAAAGAAAAAAAAAAGGTGATCTGAATTAATCTGGAATAATTACATAAATTAATCTCAAAATGGCTTTAATAAAAAGCAATCTCAGTCTCGGATGTTCAACTAAGCCAGTTAATTAGCCCTGCAGGGGTAGGGCAAAAAGGCTACTTATAAAGAAAGGGAAATAATGATACTTAAATAAAGGCAATATAAAACAAATCTCTCAACAAAAATGAGACAAGAATTCATTTTCACCGTGGCACTCTCCACAGCTCCTGAAAGAGCCTGCTACTGGCAATGAATGAAATAAAAGGGGAGGAGGGAGAGCAGAGAGAAAGGGGTGTGATCTTACCAGCTGACAGAGCTCAGCGCTCCCCTCCCTTCATGACGCTGAGAACTCACAAGCCTATAAAAGGTGCCTTGGCTCCCAGTCCCAATTCTCTGTCTGCAAAACCAAAAGCAAGGGGTGGTTGCATAGAGGAGGAATGGGATGCTGTTCTACTCAGAGATAGCTCTCCTGACTCAACTGGCACTGCATTTGTAACAGTTTGAACACCAAAGCCAAAGCTTTTCCTGACGGATCTCTCCTTCCCAGCATCTGTTGTGCTACCTTCCTTCCTTTTTTGCTTTCTTTCCTGTTCTTATCTGTTAGTGGGAATTCTGGAGGGTTGGAAGAGGGAGGTGAGAGAGGCACATCGTTCCTGGAAGAGACAAGAGGAACATCGAAAATGACTTCTGTTCCCACAGCTGACTGGAACGTGAGCATGAGCAGCAGGTGGAACATGAGCCTTGCTGCAGCGGGTGAACCCTGGGGACAGGTGCTGGAAGCAGCAGCTGGAAACACTACTGCCCCTGTAGCATCCTCAGCAGCCAACTTCTCCAATCAGTTTGTGCAGCCCTCTTGGCGCATTGCCCTCTGGTCTCTGGCTTATGGTGGTGTGGTGGCAGTGGCCGTTTTTGGAAATCTCATAGTCATATGGATTATCCTGGCTCACAAGCGCATGAGGACAGTGACCAATTACTTCCTGGTGAACCTGGCCTTCTCTGATGCCTCCATGGCTGCTTTCAATACACTCATCAACTTCATCTACGCACTGCACAGTGAGTGGTACTTTGGAGAGGCTTACTGCCGCTTCCACAACTTCTTCCCAATTACAGCTGTCTTCGCCAGCATCTACTCCATGACAGCAATATCTGTGGACAGGTGAGAAAAGAGAGGAAAATTTTAGGGGCGAGATGTGGAAATCAGATTCTCTGCTGAAATAAAAATACAGATATAACAATCATTAAGCCATAAGAGGCAGAGACATCCATAGTTTGTTGACTGTGTTCCTGTGATCCTTAAGGATCTCTCCCTAACACACTGCTTTCCTCTCTGTCTTCGGTCTTTCTCCTTCAGCCTTTCCTTAGTTTTACTCTCTTGCTTTCTTTTGCAACAAACACTCAATCTCTCTGTTTGACTTCAGCTGCTTTCTGTGCTCCACCTTTTGGTACTAATTCTGTAACAGCAGCCTTCACTCAGGGTTTTGCTTCCCCACCTGTGAAAACATGATATGTCCCTCAGGTAATGTCATCTAATTGGTACTGAGAAGGAGTTGGACAGATGGTGTGTGAAGGGAGAGGATTTCAAACTTCCCTCTTCTTTGTATTTCTGCAGCTGGCAGAGGCATTTGCTTCCTCCTCAGAAATCACTTCAGGCATTGTTTTTAATAGAGCTCCTCACAGACAGCTCTGAGCTGCTTGGTTCCTCCTGATTTTAAATAATGAGACTATTTACATCGCCATCTGTGCATATCCAGAGGTCTGGTAATAACACAGTTTCAAAGTGCTTAATTTTTTTCCTGATTACTTGCAGCAAAACAAGATTCTGTGACTGTAAAAGTAAACAGGACAGAGAAAAACTTTACCTTTGTGCTCTTAAAAATAGTGGAATAGGACGGTTGTATTCTCCATAGAATAAAGGGGAAATGTAGTTGTCAGATTTCCAGTAGAGATGCTTTGATGGATCATCTTTCTCAGAAAGTGCGGTAAGTCTCCCCTAGGAGAATTTCCATTCTTTATGATCATTTTCACATTTGCTGTACCAGAGAGGTAACCCACCACATGCTTTAGAAATCAAATAAATTCCCAAATTTTCATACAGAAAATCAGATCACTTTGTGCTTTAGATATTTTAATCCTTTTAGCAATGCGCTGAAATTACTCACAAAACTCCTTTCTACACATTCAAATCATGTTATGCATCTTGCCAGGACTGACTTGGCAGAACTACAGCACTTTCTGGTGATGGCAGTTAGGATTTTACAAGGTTCAATCCATGCCTTGAAATGTGATTTCTCATTTCCAGGTGCACTGAAAACATGTTGTTGTATCTTTTATTTCTGCTGTGGGCACATTCATAATAATGCTTTTTTCTTGGCCCTGCTAATTGCAGATTTTAGGTGGCATTCTCAGGCAGATGCATTTCGGTTCTGTAAAGCTAAAAATGAAAATTAGATTCTTAGCAGCTCTTCTCCCTCTCTGCTCTGGGGATGGGTGTACACAGGGGGAAATTAGCATACATTCCTCCTGCCACTGATGTGTCTTGTTCCCAACTGTTACTTCCCATTAATAATTGAGGAGGTAGTGTAAAGCCAGTGATAGTATCTTTAACCAGGCAAAGATTTATTCCATTGTCAGTTTGGGTTTAGCTTAAGACTCTCATCTAGCCTGTGGTTTTCAGAATGATAAAAGGCTTTTAGTCAATGCTGAAGCTTTAACTGTTATTGTTGCAGCTGATCATGTCATCAGCTGGGCAGTTACTAGGATGCTCTACATAAGGTTTTTTCATTTTTCTGACAAAAACATCCACAAAGATGTAATGCTTATACCTTGAAAGTTCCTAAATTTTTGCTAGGGAACTGAAAACAAAGGTGAATACAGTTCCTTGGGAATCAACAGGGTGTATTTCCAGAATTGCTTTGCTCCACACTGACTGACATGCAACAGTCAGGTACAAATGTTTTCCTTGGTTTAGCAGCATGAGAAACTGGTGCTCAGAAGTGAGTAAATTACTACTGTTACTCCCTCTGATCTATTTCTTGTCTGAAAATCCCTCAAAGAAATCACAATTTCCACCCCATTCACATCTTCCAAGCCCACCTGCCCCGACAAACAAATCAAAATCTTCCCTTGGGGAGAGCACAGTAAACAATGCCACAGCTGTGTTGAGGTGAGCTCTATGTAGTACCAAGAAGCATAATGTAAAACAAATGGAAGAGCAGTCTATTCCTCTTT